CTTTTGTGGAAGAAGACATTTTTAGGCAATTCTTGACAGATTTCTAGCTTTGTAGTATTTAACTAAGATTTTAAACTCCTTGGAATAGTACTACCTAACTTCATCTACCCCAAAGCACCATAAACAGTTCCAGTCTTATAAAAAAAACAACTTGACTGACCTATATGTAACCTGTATTATGTGCCCTGTCAGTTCTATTGATTTGTGGATGTGCAAATGAAGTCTAGTCCAGACTTCGCATCTTGCTGCCATGGTATAATCTTGAAAGGACTCAGAAAACAAACAGGATTAGCCAATACAAAATTTTGCACACAGAGACATAAGGTATCCAAGTTGCAACATTCAAAGCTTAAGAAAACATTTGGGTGCAAACAATTAGTGGAAATATTCCAACCATTTCGCTGGGAAGCACGATTCATTCATATTAGAACGCATTTGCTGCTAGCAAATAAAATCCTTAAATCTTAACTGAAAATTACTTTCAGATACAGGTATTGCATCTCATTTCTCTGGGCAAAGTCAGGACTGGAAACACATCTGGGTTTATTGCCAGATGCTAAAAAGACACACTGAAACACAGTTTAATTCACATCCTTCTTACCCATGCAGTGGAGTTAACTGTATCCTGGCTTCTCTTGTGGTGAACTTTGTGGTGAGCTATAACCACAAAGCTTTTTTTCAGGTTAAAACTGTTCTATCTTTCCATTTTGATAAATATATGATAATAATCTTTTATTCACCCATCTTATTTTATAGAGTTTCCCTGGGTCACCAGTTATAGAACTCATTACAGTTCTATAGTTACTGGTTAAGAAGTTTTCTGTCTTTTACATGAAGTGTAACTACATTGCACCATATTAAAAATACATCTTACTCTGTTTAAGATGATAAAGGAACAACTTTGAGCTATAATGGCAGGCTCCTTTCATATTTTTGGTGAATTTAGCAGCTATTTTGAATATTTTATATTTACCAAAATGTTTTCCATTTCAAACACCAGCTTTGAAGAGGACAGCCTTCTCTGTATTTTAAAGCAAGTCTACATTAAGCTCAAAGAAGCAGCTTTTACTGTTACATATTCTTAAACATAGCGGACTTAAAAAAAGTTGTTAAATAAAGTGATAAGAATTTCCTTAAATACTTCCTCCTTTCTCCATGAACATGCGAAATACAATTCCAAAAGAAGCACTTTCATCTCAGTAGTATTTCACGGCAATGAACCACAGTTGAAGGCATTGTTGAAGAATCACAGAATGTTTGAGGTTGGGGGAGTTCTCTGGAGGTCATCTGGTCCAAGACCCCATGCCCAAGAAGGGCCAGGCCACCTAGAGCCAGTTGCCCAGGACCATGTCCAGACAGCTTTTGACTATCTGCAAGGAAGGAGACTCCACAATCATCTGACCAAGCTGTGCCACTGCTTAGTCACCCTCACAGTAAAAATATTTCCTGATGTTCAGAGGGAACTTCCTGTGTTTTGGTTTGTAGCCATTGCTTCTGGTCCTGTCACTGGGCACCAGTGAAAAGAGCTTGGGTCTGTGTTCTTTTTGCCCTCCCTCCAGGTATCTATATGCATTAATCAGATCCCTCTGAGCCTTCTCCTCTCCAGGCCGAACAATACCAGCCCTCTCAGCCTTTCCTCACAGGAGAGATGTTCCGGTACCTTCATCATCTTTGTGGTCCTTTTTTGGACGCTCTCTAGTATGTCCATGTCTTTGTCATACCAAGGAGCCCAGGACTGGACATGGCATTCCAGGTGTGACCTCAGCAGTGATGAGCAGAGGGGCAGGATCACTTCTCTTGACCTGCTGGCAGTGCTTTGTCTAAGGCAGCCCAGGATACCATTTGCTTTCTTTGCAGCAAGGGCATACTGCTGGATCATGTTCAACTTGTTGTCCACCAGGACCCCAGGTCCTTTTTTACCAAGCTGCTTTCCAGCTGAACAGCCCCCAGCATGGCTGCTCTATCACTTGGAGGAGGAAGTTATCAATACACTCCAGGAACCTCCTGGATTGTTTCTGTCCTGCTGTATTGATGTCTCCATCAGATATCAGGGAGGTCAAAGCTCCCCACAAAGACCATAGCCCGAAAACTTGAGGCTGCTCCTCTCTGGTCTGCAAAGGGCCTAACCCACTTGTTCTTCCTGTGGTCTACAGCAGCCATCCATTAAAATGGCACCTTTACCTGTCCTCTCTTTAATCCTAACACACAAACTGATCATGGACTCAAGCTACCCTCTCACGTAAAGGCCAACCTCCCATTCTCATCTTCCCATCCTGCCCTTCCTAAAGATGCTGTATCTCTCCTTTGCAGCACTCCAGTCATGGAAGCCACCCCATGTCTCCATTAAGATTGTAGCCCTGCAACTGCTCACAGATAACTCATCATGTTTATTCCCAATTCTGAGTGTGTTAAGTGTCCTGACACTTCACAAAGGCACCACAGCATGTTGGCTTCCTAGAAAGGGTTTGGGCATTTCTCCATAATGGTGCCATGCAGGCACTTCCTTGCTTATATGCAAACGCTGGAGGTGACCCTGCTTAAAACTGATTTTTTGATCCCTTTGTGTCAAACCACGTTCATTGAGCCTGTCCATCACACCCTCACTCTCTCCCCTCTCCATCGTTCTTGGCTTAAAGCTTTCCTTGGAAAGTTTAAAGCTTTCCTAAAAATAGGCCAGCCATTCTTTATTGGTAAAAACAGCTTTGCCCCACTTCTCCCAAGCAGATGCAAACAGGGTCCTATGGTCATAGAACCCAGACACCTGTGGCCAACACCAGTTCTTCAGCTCATTACTGATCTGTCATAATAGGACCCTCCTCCTCACTCTGTTTCCCTCACCAGCAGGGATGAGACCACCACCTGGGCCTCCATGCCTGTGACTACTGCCCCAGACCTCTGTAGTCACTTCTGATACTACCCAGATTTCCTCTGGCTTTATCCTTTTCATCTATGTGGAGTAACAGCAAGAGTCAGAGCACTAGATGAGCTTGAGTAGCTCCTCCACAACATTCCAGCTCCTAGCCCCCAGAAAGCAGCAAACAACTCTAGATGACTGGTTGGGTTGACAGATGGCTGCCTCTGTCCCCTGAAGCTGAGTCAGCCATTATGACTTGCCATTTACTCCTGGTAAATCTTGCATGGCTTACGGTTAGGTGGACCAGATTTTTTGCTTGAATGCAGATCTAGCTCCTCTTCAACTTTGAGGACAGAGAATATACTCTGCAGTTGTAAGCCCTTAGGTGGGGCAGGAACTTCCCTCTTGTTGCAGTAAGTCACAAGCTTCCATCCTTCCCATTCTCTAGAGTTTTTACTTACCTTGCTAGTGCAAGGTAGACACTGCCTGCTTCCCTGTTGCAGAAGGGGTCTGAAGCTCTTCAAGCTGTTAAGTCTCAGAGAAGCTCCTGTCTGACCTCACTTCATCTTCTCTGAGGTGGTGCAGCCTGCTCAATTCCTCCTGTAATTCACCCATCAGAGATTCCCCTCCCATCTCTGGGGAAGATCACGGTAAGGATGGGTGTCCCCATGCAGCCCATGGAGGTCCATGGTGGAGCAGACATCCAACTGCAGACTGTGGAGAACCCCAACCAAGAGCAGGTGGATGTGCCCAAGGGAGGCTGTGACCCTGTGGAGAGCCTGGGCTGGAGCAGGCTCCGGGCAAGACCTGTGGCCCCATGGAACGAGGAGCACACAGTGGAACAGGTTTGCTGGCAGGACTTGTGACCCCACAGGGAACCCACGCTGGAGCAGTCTGCTCCTGAAGGACTGCACCCCATGGAAAGGACCCACACTGGAAGTGAAAAATTGCAGCCTATGGGAAGGGCTTATGTCGGAGAAGATCATGGAAGACTGTCTCCTGTGGAAGGGACCCCACGCTGGATCAGGGGAAGAGTGTGAGGAGTCCTCCCTGTGAGGAGGAAGGAGCAGCAGAAACAAAGTGTGATGAACCGACCACAACCCCCATTCCCTGTTCTTCTGCACTGCTGGGGGAAGGGAGGAGGTAGAGAAACTGGGAGTGAAGTTGAGCCTGAAAAGAATGGAGGAATCAGGGAAAGGTGTTTTGAGATTTAGATTTCGTTTTCTCATTATCCCAGTTTGACCTGATTGGTAGTAAAGTATCTTCCTTGAGTCAAGCCTGTTCTGCCCCTGAAGGTATCTCCCTGTCTTGACCCATGAACCTTTTGCCTGGGTCAGCCCACCACAGAAGCCTCTCCTGTAGCAGGGACAGCTGCTCCAGTATCTACTGGGGAAAATGAAATTAAACACATGAATGTTTTGTCTAACTTAGAATACTTATTAGACCAAAGCAAATCAGAACAGATTTCAAGGGCAGATGATAAAACTGCACTGTAATCTCCCAAGCTTTAAACTGTAATGCTGACAAGGGCATAATTTCTTTCAGGTTGAAAAGTTCTACTCAACACTGTCACATGACAGCAAGGCTAAAACTAAGAAAAACACAGGCCAGTCAGAATGAAAAGACAAGACACAGAAAATCATAAGGTGAAAGGCTTTGAGAAAGCTGTTTGTATTTGAAAATTTCAGAATCAGATTGTTTCTAAAAATATTTAAACAAAACCATTAATTTATGTAAATGCCTTAACTCGGGAAGAGCCAAAACCAAAAAACAAACGTCCAGTATGAAGATTTTCTTTACAATAAAAATTCTTCCACAAAGTATATTAAACATGGTGAAAGGGGAAAAAAGCATCTCACAATTTATATTTGAGGGCATCACATTTTAGAACAATGTCTTAGCCACTAATCATTTATAAATGATTCACAAAGAAAATAAACATGCTATTCCATAAAAGAATAATCTAATTTACAATTTAGATGTAAGGCTTCACCATAACATCATATAACCTTCATCTGGCTCTTTGCCAGGTTGAGTGATCTGAACTTACTCTACTACACAGCATGGTCCTCAAAAACCCAGGGTGTGTCCAGTTTTACTTTATAATGTTCGACAAAAAAGTGTAACTGAAAGTGTCCTATTATTTGTAACAATAAAAGCAATTGAAAATCTAGGAGAAATAGGTAAGTTTTATTTATGGGTCTAAGGTTGAAGGACGAGATTATATTACACCTTGCAAAAAAATAATCTAGCTGCTAGTTATGCCATTGTGTTATTAGCCGTTGTGCACAACTGGGACACCACAACTCCAAAGCACACACTAGACACACAGTGCTTCCTTTAGACAAAGTACATAACTTCTGTGTGAAAAAGGCTGGGGAAAAAATAATGAGAACCATCCATCTCCATAGCCGTCATAGGCGTAAGAACAATTGGCTTTACAGAGCTTCAGTTAGTTCAAAATCCTGAACGTAATACTGATGTCAGTAATAACCTTTAGTCTCCTTATGCATCAAGTACAAATCAGAGAAAAACTCTGCCCCTAAGCACTCACTTTCAACCACAAAACATTGTCAGAAATTTTGTATTTGCAACACAGCTACCTGGTGCTGCAGTCAACATATTAATTCTGCAGATGAGAGTCACAAATACTTACTGAAAATACAGATATGTTTCCTAGGAGTAATGTGAAGCTTTATTTAAGATGACAAAGCTTTTGTAACAGTGCAGGGTGCAAATTTTCAGTATGAAGACATTCAGAAGATTTGCTGCTCAAAGAGGATCTTTTCAAACCCTGGTGGAGGTGTATGATAAAATTCACTGAACTGACAATCCAGAATGGCACTGTCATCAACTGCAGAAGAGAATCAAACAGAAGGAATTAAAGAAGGAATGCTTACAGTTTCATCCTCTATTATACCATCTCACTAAATTACATACTTTGCTCAAAACATGACAAATATTCTCCAATACATCCATTACATATATACAATTTTAAAAAATCTATTTGACAAATTTGCTAAAGCCTGACACACATACTGAAGAAGAGCAAATAATCTCTTTATGGCTACTTACTGTAGTCAGTAATGGTCCTTGGTGCAGTAAATGAGAATGCTACCTCTGATTTCACTGGGAGTGTTAGTTAGGCTTCAGGCAATTCCTCCAAATTTTCTACTCTATTTCTCTGGAAATCTACAGATTGAGGACACTGCAAGACACATACTGCAAGGCTGTCATCTTCTCAGCTGCATATTTCTCTGCCCACTTCCTAATTCTGCTGAAGTGTCACCTGTCTGCAATTTTTCTGGAGGTTTACAAGGTTTCAGAAGCCTGTAATGATCCGTGTCAGACTATGCGTTTTAGCATGTGATACTAGGAGAGCTTCTTTGACTGCTTCTTTAAGTTGGAAGTTAATGGGCTTTTATAATACTTCTGCTTTCTGCATAATCTGAGACACAAGTGTTACTACCTTCATTGTAGAATACAAAGAACCTTCTGAGGATTTTCAGGACAAAGCCTTCATGTATGGCATTAGCAAACTGAAATACCCAACCATCCAGAAAAGTACGATTTCTTTCAAAGATAACTTCTTCAAAGATGAACCTGGTACACTAGCAACATTAGATCAAAATAGAAAAGCTTCATCTCTGTTTTGGGTATCTCAGAGCCCATGTAGAAATTTCTCCTTCATAGGCTCAGTTAAAACTCTTATTAGTATATTTGTACATTTCTGTAGTACTAATCTAGTGTTTGCAACTCAATTATGCAAAAATGCCTACGGTACAGCTGCTCTAGAGAACAACTTTTAAGTATATTTTCTGTTTCACATTCTCAGACTTGACATCATGTTTCCCTGTTCTATCATGTATCTTTTAAAAAGAGATCTATAGTTCCAGTCTGAAGTATGGATAGGGTAAATGCTTAGGAAAATCTGTTCTCCATGGTCAAATCCTTTCACACTACTAGAAGTTCATATTATATTAAGGACATTTATAGTTAAAGTTTATCACAATTGAGTACCATGCAAAAGCAATCTGCAGGCTGCAATTGTTCTAGCTATATGTAGGAGACATGATAATTACATTGAAATGATGCTCACTTGTGGAACATGATAATAAAAGCCTGGCAATGAAAGGTCCCTGCGTTCCCCAGACATGGAACTTCTTCAGTCAGAGAAAAAGGCAATTTATGGTAGGGTTAACATGACACCAAATGTATTCTGAAAGCAACCTGCTCTCTCCATGCTATGTAACACCATTTTCAAAACACAGGGAAGATGCAACAAACCATTTATCATACAGCAACTCCCTCCTAGCTGTTCAGGGTTTTTGCACCAGGAGATCCCGCGGTTTTCCGGGGCAGATGGTGTCTGCCACAGCATTTTAGCAGCGCCATCATGTGGCATAAGAACGCATCACAAAATAGCCATACAAAATTTCCACCCCAACAGCTTGGAAAGATATTATTTGTTAGCTACTTTTACAGACGTCGAAGACTCTACAACACATCTAGAGTATTTTCTTCCCGTTCATAAAATCCAATTTTACAAATGTATCAAGCTATAAATAGGAACATGCCAATAGTTCATTAGGAACCAATTAGCAAATGAAAAAATGAGCCACATCACATAACTAATGGTATCTCAATAAATTATTTAGGAAGAACCTGCTACTTTGATGAAGCTCACACAGGAATGAAGATAAACTGGAGATGGCTGTAGGTAAAATACAGGGAATCCAGTGAGCACTTATCATGTGCTGTGAGTGAAAAGCCAACCCAGAGTGTAGTGTTGACCATGCACTGAGCTAGGGGAAGTGCTGCCTTGCAGGTGAGATGTTAAACAGAATTCTAACTACTTGGGGAATACAAAACAACCACCAAGGTCTGGAAGAGTGAACTGTTAACACATATATCTTGGCCAAATTCCAGCTCCCATAATTCATAAATTCTTTCTTGAACTGCCTGTGCAGGAATTAACTGGATATGGTATTTCCTTCGTGTTCAAAACTTCTGTGTTGTATTGAGGGCAACAAAGATGGTGAAGGGCCTAGAGAATAAATCTTAAGAACGCTTGAAGGAGCTGGGAATGTTTAGTTTGAAGAAGAGAAGGCTGAGGGGAGGAGACCTTATCAGTCTCTACAACTACCTGAATGGCCATTGTAGAGAGGTTGGTGCTGGTCTCTTTCCACAGGTAATTAGCAACAGAACAAAAGGGGATGTCTTCAAGCTGTAACAGGGCAGGTTTAGGCTGGACATTAGGAACGTTTTTTTTCACACAAAGTGGTCAGACACTGGAATAGGATGCCCAGGGAGGTGGTTGAGTCACCATCCCTGGATGTGTTTAAGGGTCATTTGGATGTGGTGTTGGTGGACATGGTTTAGGAGAGAACCTTGTAGAGCAGGGATGGTGGTTGGACTTGGTGATCCCAAGGGTCTTTTCCAACCTGAATAGTTCTGATTCTATGATGCCTGCTAGTGATGGTTGCTGGCAAAACAGCTACCACAATTCACTTTCAAATTGCTAGATTTCAGAACTGGGCATCAATTAGGTGTAGCAGCAAAGAGCTGTACCACTATACAGCAGGCAGCTGTTCTAGTACTACATTAAAGTTATTACTTCCATAAGAATATATAAACAACAATTTACTATCCATTCATATTTAACACTCAATCCATTTATGAAGTATGTGAAATTAACAGGAATAAACATCAAGCTTCACAGATAAATCAGATGAGCCCACAAATCTGCATCTCTCTGAACTTCCATTTTTTGTGGACACTGTAACTAGTTGGTAACTGATGCTTTTTTTACTTACTAGGCAGCATTTAAGATGATGTGAAAATATACTGTTGTATTTTCCCAGGTTTGTATTTTCATGCAATTTATTGTTGTTGTTGCCAAAAACAAATGACTGGCATGTGTTCCATTTAAGTAGGAAAAAGAATGCACAGCTCACAAGACAGATTTGGTCATAAATATTTTTCTACACTGTAGAACAGTTTGAAAATCTCTGACTTACCATAGACCACTGGGTAGACAGTCCCTCGGATTCCTGAAGCTGGACAATGCATGTTCTTCCCATTTAAATATACATTTAATTCTACATGGTCATATGTAATGCCCTATAAAGTACAGAAAATTACAAAAAAAAGCATCAACACATTTATACATGTAAGATTGCTACTTAATTTAGCTTTCTTAGCCATAGGCAAATTTTAACACCATTATGCTAACCGCAGCATCCTAGAAAACCTCACTTGAAATACTCTTGCAAAGGACTGGAAGTTGATAAATTACCAGTAACATTTGTATTTTCAAATACTCAGGATTTGTTATTGCTCATCCAATTTAGAGGCAGCACAGTACTGCACACTGCTTCTTACTAAGGACAGATTACAAAATAAATTCACAAGCTATTCTTCACTATGTTAAAGAAACACAAAATTTTCTATTACTTTGAACATTAAGCAGTTTGCCATCTTCTTGTTTATTAAAGTTATTTCCTTGAGAAGATGCAGTGATGCCATGAATTCATTTTATCTGTCCATACTTTCACACAGTAACCTCTCTCAGCTCACTTAATCTGGCAGCAGCAACAGACTGTGATTTCATACATAACACCCTAAGTATGCTGACTAAAGAGCAGAAAGCAAACGCTAACAAGGTAATAAATTACTTGTTAGCTAAATTATTTTTCTCGCTGTTTTGGCACAGCTGAGTGTGACAATTTGTGTTGTCATTCATTACTTCAGGAATCTGTCTTCAGGACATAACAAAATAAATTGAAATTTATGATAATCGGAGTTTGCAAAGGAACACATGAGCTACTTTTTTTGTGATTAGTTGAAGCTCTTCAGACTACCTATGTTGACTAAACCTTGAAACAGTCAGCAACCCTCAAAAAACAACTTCTGAAGGGGATTAAAAGAATAATATACTATCTGTATAAAGGGTAGAGGAGTCAACCTTAGGTGTTTGAGGCTTCTAAAGATGAAATTCCTAACCATCACTATATAGAGGCAAGATTAACCCAGCAAGAAAAAATAGCGGTGGCAAATGGCCTAAATTTCATTGCATTTTTCCTATATATTTTTGAAAATAAATCTCTTACAGGTCATTGAGAAAAATGACAACGAGAGAACACAAACCTTTGAATAGAATCACTTTAAAGTTGTTTTAAGAAACCTGGTACAGTAAGGTACAAAAAAAACCATTAAGGGTCTCCATTTGCTCTCATTCTTAATTATTCTCCTAGTGAATATTAACCCCTCCCTATTTACTATCTCTCCTTCCCTACAAAAGCTTAGTCTGGCTAAAAATAAAATTCATCTACCACCCAGGACCTATCTCTGCCCAGCTGTGTCCTTCTAATCATTAACCAGTTAGCTACCAGGTCTGCAGCTCAGCTGGGCATGGTGCACAGCTATGTAATGCATTCCAGCACATTATTTGTTTAGGAAGATCCCATCTCAAACAATGTAGGACCCTTGTGATGGGAGTTACCCATCAGGTAGGTAATGCAATATTGCATTAGACACTACTTTTCAAACACTGGTAAAGTCTGTCCCTCATTCAAAAACTTAACAATGCTGAGAATGAAGTCCAGTGGTATACAGGCTGCTGATCCATTTTAAATACAATGGGAGTTTGTGTCAGCACTTTCCAAACAGGGAGGTGCAAGCTGAACAGTCTGACTGAAACTGGCAGTTTGACCACATAGCTGTAAATAAGAATAATCTGGGAACAGCTGAGGAAAATAAAGAAGCCTTAAGAAACTCACCACTACATCGCCCTCCTGAGGAAGGTTGTTTGCTGGGAGTCTATTTTTCTCCTCGTTGTTATAGTAGAGAGCTCCATCATTCCTCATCACCAGGCTATGGACATCTCGACCAAGTGGAATTTGATTTAAATTTGCTTTCTGGGTTGCAACTCCAATACCCCAAATCCCTAAAGTGGGACATTGACATGGCAAGAAAAAAACACCCATGTAATTTTGAAGATTATCTGTCTGAAGCAGGACAGCATAGAGAATGTGTTTTTAACTAGGCAGTACTACCAGTAAGTACCTCTAGGAAATACAGGGACTACTGTGATTTAGCCCTGGCAGGCACCCAAGCACCACCCAACCCCTCACTCACTTGCCCCCACAGCCCTCAGTGAGTTGGAGGAAGAGGCAATGAAGAGTAAACCCCAGAAAACTTGTGGATAAAGATAAAAATTGTTTAACAGGAGAGGTGGAAGAAAGAAAGAAACTTAAGCAAAACAAAGTGATGCAAAGGCAAGCACTCACTACCTCCCACGGATAGACCAATGCCCAGCCAATTCCCAAGCAAAAGATAGTGGCTAACCTCCCTAAGTCCCCTCTCTCTTTTGTTGCTGAGCCCAACATGTAGCATGGAATATCTCTTTGGTTAGTTTGGGTCATCCACCTGGTTGCAACCCCTCCCAATCTCTTGAGCATCCCCAGTCTTACATTTGCCCTGGGAGGGCAAAATGAGAAACTGAGGCCTTGCTGCTGTGCAAACACTGTTCAGCAATACCTAAAACTTGAGTGTGTAACCAGTATTGTTTTGGTAACAAATCTAAAAAACAGCACCACAAGAGCTGCTATGATGAAAATTAACTCCATCCCAGACAGATCCAGTACAAGCAGTCACAAGAGACTGAAGATAAACAGCACCTATCCTGAAAAAGGACTCACATTATTGTAACTACTTAGCTTTTGCTTTTATTCCCAGAAAAATATTGAAAACAATCTCTAAGACTGTAGGAGGATGTAAAAAAATAAACCAAACTAGCATAGATTTCTGAACAACACCATTTCCTTTTTCAGCTGGTTAGACTCGTCTTAGGGGGAAAACAAAAAATTGTAAATATGATAGATCTTGATTTGGTAATTTTTTTGAAACTCATACAACATTGAAATAGCCAAATTACAAAAACATGATCTAAACAGTTACAGCAATATGAATGCAGAACTGATCAGAAAACTGTACTGCAGAACTACTCAGCAGTAGCACCTCAACAAACCAAAAAAGATCACTCAAGTGGGGCTTGAGGTTTTGCCCAAGGCTGGATGCTGCTCCATATTCACAACCATGCCTTGGATAACATGACAATGTGCTTATCAAATGTGCTATCAACATCAACCTGACAGGACTGCAAGCTCTTCAGAAGCCACTCAAGTTTTAAGTTATCCTGACAAATTGGTTAAGAGGTCTGAAATAAGGAAAATGCATTTGCTTTTTCTGAATTATGATGAACAGCAGGTAACTAGAGCAGTAAGTGGCACAAATATAACAGTGGCTTGGCAACCAGTTCATAGAATGTAATTTGGGGGTATTCACAGACCACATACTGAGCATGAATCTGTGCCCTACTGTTGTGAAAAACTTCTAGATGCATGGCATGTATAAAAAGCAGACATTTTGTATGGACAGCAGATGAAGAATGTCTACTGCTGCTACAGCTAGAGCAGAGTGTCCCTTTTAGGCATCATACCTCAAGGCAAATTAGGTCGATTGGAGATACTCTAGAATAAACAACAAAACCAATCAAAAGTGTAAAAAACACCATCTATAAGAACACAGTGAAAAAACTGGAACTGTTTAATCTACAGAAGACTAAAAATGAGGCAAAAATATGAGTTTCAAAAGACAAAATCGCAGAACAACTTATTCTAATACTTACATGACTAGAATTAAAAGGACAAGAGCATGAACAAGATTCAGATTAGACTTAAAAGAAACTTCCCAATAATCAAGATGTCTCCATAGATGACCTTCAATAGATTGCACAAGGATGCTTCTGGGAATCCAAGTTTTTAAGCTAAGCAATCTACACTTCTGTCTTGGGGCAGAGGAAAACATGAGACACAGCTCATGGGGACCAGGAGAGCTTATTTCCTATGTTTCTAAAATAACATATAAGAACATGGATACTGTGTCTCTGTGAATAATGAGCCTATATGAACAACAGTTACAGTGGATTCCTTCTCCAGCAGAAAGGATACTAAAATTGCCCAGTTATGACAGAGATGGGGTTTATATGTATTTTAAAACTCAACAACTGGTTTGACTGCAAGGTGTTTTAGACAGATCTGTGCTCATGCTGCCTGCACTCCAATCCACTGAATGCAAACAACCCTTACCCAAAAAGCACCAGATTCGAGCTCCAGCTGGTACTGTAAAGCCTGTCTCTGGACTAACACTTCCTTTCTTCTTCCCTTACCCTACACACTCAGGGGAAGAACAGCTTTATTTTCACAGTGTCTGCCATTTAAAAAAAATATAGGTTGGTTGATTTTAAGATTAGAAAACAGGCAAGCCTAGAGTGCACTCTGTAGTACTGAAGCTGACTGTATTAGTAAAAGCATAATTATTCCAAATTTCATTTACTTTCAGCTGCCTTGCATTAGATCTGTGCAAAACAGATATAGAAACAGGGTGCTCAAAGGCTGCTCTTGGTAAGACCATGTCAGAATAAGTGCTGCACATTTTGTTTGAATAGCAAAGTGAAGTACAACGAGTGTTAGCCTTGCATGGTGCATGCTAAATGCAAATGAAGGTAGGCAAGTAGCTACAGATATTGCTGGATAAACTGCACTATTTTAAACAAAAGTATTTCATAGCTACAGTGTTTATGTGGTCACAAGGATTTATTTACCAAAAAACATTTCTCTAATATGCTAACTGAAAAACATGCATAAAACAGCATATAAAACAACATTGTGTTTTAGTATTTGCACTCCTTTAGTAATATACTTACCATTCTTTTTAGTATTTCGGAGACACAATTTTAAAAAAAAGAAATTCCTTTTTACACAATGACAACTCAGAAAACTCCAATGTTCACAAGTTCAAGGATGCAATTACAAAGATGCACGTGCTCAGTATCTGACATATGACTGCAGGCAATCTGACATACCTTCCAAGTTTAAAGTTGTACATTTTTGCAGACTAACCTGTGGACTGGATTTTAAACTCAAAATAGCTCTTGTTCTGATGCAAAGGTGCATTGGCTAAGCAGCCTCCTGTGCCACATATCCTTCTGCCATTTTTAACAATAACGACATCTGTTCCTGCAAAAAGAAAAAAAAAATCAACAAAAAAACCAACCATGCAACACTTCAAAACATTTTCAGAAGTCTGGAAGCAGCCCCTAAAAGCCCTAAACATTGATAATAGATTTTGCTCTTTCTGCATCAAGTCAGAACTTCATTACTCTGTGAGAATTATGACGATAGGCCATGCTTTGAAGTAAGAAAAGGAAGGCTGTTTACAGGCTAGCTCATCTTTCAGCCAGGGTTTATTTATTTAAAACCTATATGCTGCTCTAATTTTGCATCTTGTGTTCTGTGGCCCCATGCTGATCACAACCTTTGTTCAGCCACATCAGAAGCATAACTTACAACTTAGTCAGAAAGGGTTCACTGTGAGACCAAAGCCCTGTACCCTGTCTCTATACACGGGAGAACAAAAATCTGCAGTGAGAAGGCAAGGCACATGGGGTAGAAATATTTGATGGAATTGCAAGGCTGTTTAAATGTTCTTTGAAAAAAAAACATTTTTATGTGAAACATGCCTGTCGATACAGGGAGGAAAAAAATCCCTGCCATGTTTTCCTTCTCCAGTGGAAGACTTCATCTTCCAGCACTGCTGTCATGGTCAAGAACATGGGAGACAGTCAAGGCCCGCTAATACAACTGAATAAAAACGGGGCAATAATTGTGCTTCATCACTGGACCCTGGAGTGGCCACAGTGCTTTCCTCTCAGTTTTTTCCCTGGCTCTCCTATAGCCGACCCAGATCACTTCTCTGCTCAGCAAAGTCCATCGCCTGGTTTTGAGAACAGCTCATCCTAAGGGAGCGGCTCGGACGGGCCTCCCTACAGCCTGGCTCCTTCTGCATCCTCACCGCCACCCCCTGCTCCCAACCACCATCCCCCGCCTCTGGCCAAGCCCTCCAGCCCTCCCCAGGCAGCCCTGCCCCCTCACACACCCCTGCTGCCGCTGGGGCACCTGAAAGAGCCGAAAAAGAGACCTTCCCAGTGAGAGGGGATCAACCCCAGGGGCCGGTGCGGTTACACCCCCTCACGGGCTCCCCAGGCCCGCGGCCTCCCGGCCGGGCAGACCCCCCAGACGCCACC